TGAATTTTTGAAAAAAAATAAAGGATCAATAGGACATTTATTAGCAGGAGTAGAGTCATTATTAATTATAAATCCTGAGAAAAAACAAGAGGCTGAAGATCTTTTATTTAAAGTTTATGAAGATGATTATTTAAATGATAGAACATTGAAAGTATGTTGTTATATATATTATTTTTTTATTGTTGTTGTTGCTTTTGATTGAATGATTAAGTTTATTAAATAAATAAATGTTCTTTTTAATAATTAGAATTGTATTTTGGTTTATGAGGCATTTAAAAATGCCTTTGAATCTCCAAAAGCAAAAGAGTTTAAGAAAAAATGCCAAGAATGGTTTCCAATCTCAACATATTTCAAAGATACTTAAAAAAAAATAATTCAAGGTTGTATATTATATTATATGATTTTGGGGAAGGACATTTATTTAGTCATTATTCAATACCTTATTTTATGATATTGCAAAATTAATTAATTTAACACAAAAAAAATAAAATAAAATAAAGAATTATAAATGTTATTTAAAAGCAATGATGATGATATAAATAATAATAATAATTATTATTTTATTATATAATCAACATGATATTAATATATTTAAATAGATTTCTGCATTAAATCTGGATATTTTACACCAATAGCAATTACTACTTCCTCTACATGATGACATACATTTTGTATTGCCATGTCCCATTTTGAAGCATGTGCACTGCCTACAGATTTACCAAGACTAGTTGAAGAATTACTTTCAAAAAATATCAAATGTTCTATTTGATCAATTGTGCCTTGCATTCTGCCTTGTTCAATCATAGAACTGGCAATTTGTTCAGCTTGATCAGGTGAAATAGCCAGTAACGAACCAAGTTCTTCAAATGTAATATTATTGTAAATCATTGATGCAGATAAAAGATTGTGTTCAATTACAGCACGATCTAAAACAGTAGTACCATCAGCAAGTCTAGCACGTTGATGTTCTTTAAGCATCTCTGCAAATCCTTTAACTTCATTTGGTCTTAAAACACGATCAAGATACATTTTTTCAAGAATTGGAAAATGTGGTAAACGTTGTACTCTTTCGTCTTTGTACAAAGTGGCTAACATACGTGAACGTTGAGGGCCTGCACCTGCAAGGACTGCGCAGGTGATGGCAGCGTTTCTATAACAATATGAAAGAATATAAAGATATATGTCACAGTTATGAAATAATAATAATAATAATAATAATAATAATCATTATATTATTTTAATAACTACTCACAAACAATTTGTACGGTCATCAGGTGCTAACTCTGAAACATAACTTAATTCATGATATTTGGAACTAGCTTCAAGAAACTTCCTTTTGAAATCAAGGATTTTAGCTTGTGATAATTTAAATGTTAAATTTTTTACTTGATCCTTACATCCAGGAATCAATAAAGCAGCTCGACTAAGATATGTTTCTGCTGGCACAGCTTCATCTTCTTCCAAAAGTAATTGGATAATTTTAATATAGATTTTTAATTTGTATTCGTCTGAAACGGCTCTTTGGAGATTTTTTTTTAAAATAAATAAATCAATAAACAAATCAATATTTATATATATGTGCATATTGTTTAAAAAAATTAAATAGACACCTATGGCCCGAGTCTAATGGAATGCCTTGTAATACTTTTGCTGATTCAATCCAGTCTTCTTCTGTTTCATATATTCCAGCTAGTTTTTCACGAAGAATTGAAATCTAATTTAGTTTCAAACCAAATATTATTATTATTATCATTATTAAATAATTACACTGTGGATGGTTATATCAAAAAACTCACTTGTTCTTCAAAACTAACAAGTCTTGGTTGAACTTTGTTTAAAACAAAGTGCAAAATCTGTTTTTTAAGCTCACGATCAGCGATTTTGTCTACACCTAGTGTGAAGTCACTTAGTACTTGACGAGAAATAACATGTCCGACTTGTTCATGTACTATGTGATCAACAAAAGTTTCTAGATTAGTTTTAAAATCTTTGTCATCATCAGCTGAAGAAAGAATAGAATCAAGTAAAGATCGATATTCTGCTGTTTTATCTTTTTGGGAAGGAATGGTAGAAATTGAAGTGAGTCTTTCGGATATTGTGGACATTACTATTTTTCTATTATTTTTTTTACGTGTTTATCTAAAAAAAAAA